ATCAAATTAGTTTTTTGCATTTTTCACACACAAACAAATATTAACACTAACTTTGGCCAGTGTTTGTGACTAAGTGGCTACTAAAAAAGACTGGACATACCCCATTTGCAATACCTTGGGTTGTCTACTTTTGCAAATGGTATGCCATACGGTCTCACAGGCAACGTAACCAATCTGGCGAATTTCAATGTGAAAAAAATGAAAAATTTAACATGTTATATTTGACCCTGTAACTTTCCAAAATACCATAAATTCTGTACACAGGGGGTACTGTTTTACACCTGAGACATCGTTGAATACAAATAGGTGTATTTTATTGCAGTAAAAGCAAACAGTATTATGACATTCACAGTTAGAATGTCACGTAGAACTAAATTGTTTTTTAAAAATTCTTATTTTCTCCCATTTTTTTTATATTTTATTCTCCTATTAGAGAATTAGTGCAGCAATAAAAGAAGAAGAAAAAAGAATAAACTTGACTCTCTGCATTACTTTATATATCTTAGCTGCAATGTCAAAAGGGACCTCAAGAATGGTTTTGCAGATTCTCTGCTGCTCTGATTGTCTTCACTTTGATGTATAGTGACTGTGATCAGTCTATGGCGATGACGGTTTACAGCAATTCTTGTTGCTAGATTAGGCCCTGCTCAACCCGATCAGCCTGTTCTCCCATAGGGATTTTGGTTCTATAGTATGTGTGTGTCTCTGTTGTGGGCCTCAAAATTCACAGAGCACCTAAGACCTCGTGTTGCTGCCCTTTTCTTGGTGTCTCACAGCCTTAATCCGCAAGCTTCCTGTACATATGCCTTGTCATAAGACTCCTCCCCTCTCGGAGTATGCATGCATGATCACGTCATCTTGAGACAGCTAATGTTTACACTTCCTTTATTGCAAATTCTGTTTAATTTAGAATTTCTTATCTCCTGCTCTGTTAATAGCTTTCTAGTCCCTGCAGGAGCCTCCTGTATGTAATTTCAGCAGTCGGCTGTCCATCCGGCATAATTCAGGACTCTGTTTTGGTATCTCTTTTTTTATGGTTTATCTTCGGATTTACCATTGTACTTTGTACTTTTTTTTTTTGTTTTTTTTGTTTACTATCATATTTACTATAGTCTGTTTTGGCACAACCTTTTCTTGTCTTGTTTTGTCTTATCTTATTTACATAGACTGATTTCTAAATGCTTATAGTTTAAAGACACAAAACTGTGAGTATTATTGCTGTGGAGCTCTGTTATACTCTCAGACACACCAATAATATGGAACTTCTAGAAAAATGGACATTAGAAGGGAAAAGGAGGACAGAGGGATTTGCTGGCAAAATCCTAAAAAGGAACACTTGGGAGATGTGCAATATACTGCCAGACTTTCTAATAGCATGCTGGCCTGGTGTATCCTGAAAAATATGATCGATCTGGCAACTCTAACTGTGATATTGGTATCGTCACTCTGCCACTGCAGAAATAGTAAACACAAATTACATAAAGACAAAACTGAATTAGTACTGTACAGTCAGCAATAAATGACGCATGTATTCTAAAAAAAAAAATTGGATTTTGAGATATCACTCTCAAACCACACCTGAGATTGCCATTGTTGGGCTGCTCCACCCTGTGTTCCAAATTTCGGCAGGTGTTTTTTAAATGATCTGAAAGAAGGAGTGATATTTGAATAATGAAGCAATTGCCACTTAGTTATGTTGCTTGTCAACAAAGAATAGTCTTTAACCTTTTGAGTGCTATATAGGTAAATATATGCTCAAGGTTATTTCATAAAAGTAATGTTGATGTCAATCTAATGCCACCACATTTAACCCCTTAAGGACCAAACTTCTGGAATAAAAGGGAATCATGACATGTCACACATGTCATGTGTCCTTAATTAAAGGAACAAAATAGCATTAGGAATACAAACTTGTATTCCTAACACTATAGTGGTCTACTACCTATTTACATGTGCGGGGCTCCCCTGTGTGTATTGAAAAAAGCTATTTACTTACAGTACCTTTCTTCCCCTTGGTGTTCCAACCTTACTGCAGTCCTTCCTCCTCTCTGGCTGAGATAATCAATTCTGACTCCAATGCTTCTCTATTAGAAGCATTGGGAAGAACGTAAGCTATATCGAAAATCACAGCATTATTCCAATTAGCATCCCCCCATAGGGATGCATTAAGTCAGTGCATCTATATAGTAAGTATTAAGCGTTTCCTTACTGTGCTTATCTTTGCAGGACTGAACCCAGGAAGTCCCTTTAGTGGCTGTCAGAGTTACAACTACTAGAGATGTGCTTAGGGAGCAGTGTAATCACCGCCTTTTCTCAGAAAAAGCAGCATTTACACTGCGTAGCTTGCAGAAACAAACTCTAGACACCAGAACAACTACATTAGGCTGCAGTGATTCTGGTGTCTATAGTGAAACTTTAAGCTTAAAACGTTACTATAGCCACCATGACCACTTTGGTGATTTGTGCAGTGTTTCAGCTTGAAACACTGCACTTACAGAGATATTTATAATTGTGTGCTCGGAGCTAGTTGCACCTCAGCACACGTGACATTTGCAGCCCAAAGCTCTGTTCTGTTCATGCTTATAATAGGTATGCAACCTTATTAGAGGCTGTAGTGGACTTGGTTCCATTTAATTAAATGGGCAGGACTTCTCCCTCATGATATCTACTTTTAGATAAACTGCTGCTTCCTATGATTTTTAACGGTATGTTTAATTATCCTTATGTATTTGTGAGATAGGAAAACTTAAATTAAATGTAGAAGTTCACACCTCTTTTTATCCTGCAACTAGGCTCCTACATCTAAAGACAGGTGCCAGGTGCTTAGATGAGGAAACTGGCTGCAGGATAAAGAGGTGGGAATTTCTATATTTAATTTAAGTTTTCTTATTTCACAAATACACCGGGATAATTAACAATGTATTTTACACTTGTCAATCAGCATAGAGGAAGCATACACGAAGAAAAGAAATTAGAAGAAAAGAGAAATTAGATTGTATTTGCAATCTTTTTCCTGACCTTTCCTTCGTTGTTTGTGATGTAATTTGCTAAATCATTACTATATATGTTTTAATTTTTTTTAAATCTATCATCTCATGAAAAATAGGCTACCGCAAGTTATAGGTACATTTTATGTTTTATTCAGTTGTGTAAATCCCAGAGAAGTGACAGTTCCGGTTTAATGTAACTCATAAAATGTTACGGTTAATTTGGTCATCATGGTGGGTTTTTAATAAATAATCAATGTGCATCTTGTCTTTGTTTTTTGTGCAAAAAAAATAAATAAAAAAAAATGTGGTGATCAGTGGTAACTTGCTTTTTGTGTATAAAATCAATCTCTAATCATGTAATAATTTTCAACAAAACAAGCAACATATAATGCATATACCTAGGCAGCAAAAAGTTAAACAAAGTATGTAACATAAGGTATATGTGTGTGTGTATAGGTATGTATATGTATTGCTTTTTCTTACTTTTTCATAGAATAGCTAGATAGTAGAATGTGAGAAAATTGAGGGAATAATGTATTAAATAAGGAAAGGATAGCATTCATACAGTGCTACATTGAATCGTTGTCATAGTTTCCCTACATCTTTAATGTATTAAATACTGAAGCGATGACTTTTCTAGTTGAACATACTCGCTTGGGTGGACTGAAAAATCTTCTGATAGTGTCACACTGATCGTAGGGTCTTCCTCAGTGTGTGCCACATTGTAAGTATGGTCCCTCCCAGTCAGGTTTGACTTGTTCTAAAATATCAGATAAAGAAAGGAAACTTGTCACACTGCCTGAAAGGTATTTGTTAGAAGGAAGAGTGAGATTCTTCTCTGACTACTATGTGACCTGCTTTACACTCCATTTGAAAATCTTTTTTTTTTTTTTTCCCTTTTTCATATGAAAGGCGACTTGTCTTTGAACCCTTCCTTTTCCTAAACCACGCAGCCCTTCGCCCCTCTGTAGGATGGTGTCGCGGCACAGAGTTTGGAAATCATGCTGTCTTGGTGGTCTCTGGTGGTTTCATAGCTGTAAGTGTGAAAGACCCAAAGATAAGGAGCCCAAAACAACGGTGAGTTGGATTTACATTGGAGCTGCATTTATTAGCTTTTGCTGGTAGTCTACGGAAGTTAAATACATTTAGCACTCAACATTTTTCATTAAATATAGTGTTAGTTTTATTGAGCGATTTGGCACTAGAGTCAATATTAGGTGAGTCTTTTTTATTTGGCTACTTATACTTGCGTTGTTTTAAAAAAAATTTATATTTACACTGAACTGCTTAGTATGTTGGCACTGTATCAATGTCAATTATAATAATGGATGCCAATTACGGATGCCTGCCTGCTTCATGTAGTATTTAGATTATTTGATTTTTTTTTTTTTTTTTGTAATGCATTTTCCCTAACAATGTTTGCTGAGGTTATACCTGTTGCTGTGGTTATTGTTGCCCGTCGGTTTCACTTATGATTCTGTTTTCGTTTTTGATCATACCACTTTGTCTTAAGTTTGTGACTGTGTATTTGTAGAGATTATGAGGCAAAAATGGCAAATTACAGTTTAATATTATTGTAGGTATATGCTTGGATTACGCTACAAATGATAGGTTTATGCTTGGAACTATTGGGGGTTATGGCAGACTTGCCTGGCAGTGGGAAAACACCAACATACAAATCTTTAATGGCAAATGTAGCACCTGGTCTCCTAGGAGTATGCCGATTGGTAATCTGTTTATGTACGTTTTCTAGCTTATTTTAGCTAATTGTCTGTCTTTCAACCATGTCAGTTCCATTCCCCCTTTCCTCAGTGTTTATAGTGGTAGCAAAGACACTTTTAATCATTTAAATATATTCAAACAACAAATTAGCCTTTTATTAAAGGCTTTACTTAAGAATTGTCTGCTAGAAAAGGAGCTTGTCCATTACATTTGAAGAGACACTCACTTAGGCTTTTTGTTGTATAATCTCAAAATGAAACAGTATGCACATACATAGTAACACACCATTCTTCATAGAATTCTAACTAATCAACGTTAAACATTCTGATATTGGTTGTCTTGGTGGTTCTATGACTATATCCCATATTTTATCACAAGTGTATTAAGCTCCCTTTCATAATTAATTTAGTACTCTACGTATCCTCTTTGCTATATTGCATCTTTTATTTGCCATGCTTAATTCTTCATTTACCACAATGCACTTCTCTAGCAGATCTAATCTTTTATAATGTATTTCTTTGTGCTTTTGCCATAGTACATCCCTTATCAACATTTTATTCCATGTTTGATCACTCAGCCTAGCACATTTTAGTTTTCTAAGAAACTGCTCCACTTATATATATATATTCTGTGTTGCTGCCTGGGGCATTCACTGGTATTCAGTGTCTCCACCCTCTGCATGCAAACACTGAACATTCCTTATAGAGATGCATTGATTCAATTCAACTCTGAGGAGATGCTGATTGTGCAGGGTCGTGTTTGGCTTGTGCTTGCTCTACCCCTGAACAGCCTCCCTGACAGTATCAGCCCATCCAATGCTTTCTTATGGGAAAGCATTGTTATTGGCCTAGATTAACACTTCTGATTATGTCGGCCAAGAAGGCAGATCAGGGGCAGAGTCATCCCAGCAGACTGGAATAAAAGTAAGATTTTACTTATTTAGGGGGAAAGGGGAACAGGAAGGCTAAATAGTTAGTTTAACACTAGGTTCAGGAATACATGTTTGTGTTCCTGATCCTATATTGTTCATTTAATAGGCAATAGACTTATTATTACCTTCAACTCCTCCTCTTCTATCTCACACAGCTACTTTCAAAACCTTGCAATTGCATTTTACAACTCCAACCTCCACTACATTAGAGAAGGCTGAATGAAACATGACATCTCCTCATGGTTGGCAATGACACAGCACTCATAGACAAAATCAGCCTGCTACCCCCAAAGGTGCTCCAAAACAGCTGAATGTTAATAAGGCACTAATATCACACATGGGATATACTAAAAGCAATGAATTAATGCAGCATGATGAGTTCATAAGGGGACAATAATCATAAAAATAATAGTAACATAAAAAAATGTAACACGAAGGGCATTGAAATAAGTTTTAGTGATAAAATATATGCTTGAAAAACTATGTTTAATCACACTGGTAGTTTCCAAGATATTTTAAAATGAGATGTCCTGTTTGAATGACTTCTGATCTGAAAAACAACGCTCTTTCCTTAAAATGTTGTAAATGAGTGTTGCAGCTGGGTTTAGGTAAAATTGTCAGGTGGGTGGAAGATATAAAGCAAGTATTTGGTGGGTTGCTAATAATTACTGAATAATATGGTGGTATGGCTGACATTCTGAATCTGAATGTTTGTGCAATGATGAACCTATGGCTAATAAAAATATCAAATTTTCTAGAAAAGTGATGATTCAGCGACCTTTCACCCCAGTAATTGCTATTCCATCAGAGGTATGTTAAAAACAAACAAAAAACAACAACAGAAAACCCCCACCTCCATCGCACTTCTGTGTTGTAGCAATTAGATCTCTCATATTATGCCGCAGCCTCGAGCACGCTCTTGGGCATATAACAGAGAAACATAGAATGTGACGGCAGATTAGAACCATTCGTCCCATCTAGTCTCCCCAATTTTCTAAATACTTTTATTAGTCCCTGGCCTTATCTTATAGTTAGGACATGTCATGTGTCCTTAAGGTGTTAAACTCCATCACTGTGTTATGAGCTATATGCAATTTTTCCTGCAGTCACTGTGTTATTTATGTACTTTACTTGGCAAAGCATGTAAATCAAATTGAAAACAAAAAAACTATATAGAGAATTTAAAAATAATTTTAGCACAACTTAATGCTAACTTAGTAGGTTGTGCTGAAATCTAGGACAAGAAAGTTCCTTTTAAGTCTACTGAGAAAGAACAATTGTTTGCCTTCCCAGTGGGACTACTTCCTTCCCTTAGCCCTCAGCTTGTGAATCTGTTAATGCTTGAGATGTGGTGAATATCATGTTTAGACCCTTAAAGATAATATATTTATATTTTAGCATTTCATAACTATATGTGTATATATATATATATAAATAAACAGATACAATTTGTATCCTCTAATAACTTTTTTTATTGGACTAACAAAACTTTTTAATGACAAGCTTTCGGGAGGACCTCCCTTTCTCAAGTCTAAAGCATTTCTCTATCAAGACGATACATAGAATTCAAAGTTGAGTTGTGATACAGGGGTTAAAGCAACATGAGTGCAGATAAGTCGCTTTAACCCCTGTATCACAACTTAACTCTGTCTATTTCGATCTATCAATTTCTATCCATCTACCCAACACATCTACCCAACACACAACACCACAAACAGCCTTGCCTCAGACACAACCAACCTCAAAGTAAAAGATCACAGGCAGCCTCTCTATACATGCACAACAGCCTCTCCCAATCCTAATGCCATCCCTCTTTTGTCCTTTGATATTCCACTTATAGGGACACCAGAGACAAGCCATTGGCAAGCGCAGAAAAAGTGGTGTGTCATTAAACTTGCATGTGCTGTACTAAACACAGGGCATTTTCCCTATGCCAGCAGTTCTTCAGCATTGTTCTACGCGTGACCTGTCCAAGAGGGGCATTGTTTTGTTCCGGTGTGTTTACAATTAAAACATTCAAGGCTGTGTTATTACTTTGTGTCACTAATTGTCTCCAAATATCACTGAAACTCTGGAACATGGATTTCAGACAATCTTTTTATTCAACCTCAAGCACATTTCCGCTTCAGTAGCTCAGTCTTCAGTGACAACTCAAAATAGTTCCAACTGTTACACAGAGATCTAGACATTCTAGGGGGTGTGCCATGCTGTCCTTAAACCTGTTTGAGCTCATCTCAACACACTTCTTTTTTCAAAAATAAATAAATAAAAGAACTCTAAAAGGCTTTTGATAACAACATTCAACAGAAAAATACATAAAACAGTAAACCATAAACCTGGACTAGAACAGTTCATCTGTACAGCTAATGCTCATAAGCTCCAGGGCATGGTCCAGATTCACATGCCTATATGGTTGTAGAGTTGTTGGTTGAGGGAAACGGGTCTCTGGAGGAGTAACCAATGGCTGTAGATTACCAGTTATCTGACTAGGAACATTCTGATGTTTTGTATAATTTCCAGGAATAGTATTTTCAGTCCTCAAGGTACTGAGGTGGACACCACAGTCCATGCCAGATATCCTTAGCAGCTGAATTCAGGGATTGTATTTCACCTGCTAGAGATCAATATCTCATCTGTGGACAGCAATATGTATCACCCGCTGGTAATAGAACGTTGAACATTCTCTTTGTCCATACCCAGGGCCGGTGCAAGGATTTTTGACTACACAGGCGAAGATGCATTTTTACAACCCCGTCCCCCTCCAAAAAAAATGCATCTTCACCTCTGTGTCTCGTAGTCCCTCTTTTATATTTCTTACCCTCATTGGTGTTTCATATCCACTCTCTTGTATGTCTTACCCCTTTGGCCCCTTTGTACCTTACACCCCCCCTTTAGTAGAAAGATAGAAAGGTGTGTAGGGGGTTCACTCCAAAACAGAAGGTCAATAGGCAGCAGTAACCAATGCAAGGATTCCCAACCTTGTATAAAGACAGTGTAAAAAGAAAGAGAAGGAGACCGCGCCTTACATTAACTGTATATACATACACTAGATGTTTCTTAATTATTGTAGATAATGTTTCCTCAAAAAGAGAACACAAAGAGAAAATATATACAATAGTGTAGTATGTTTAACAATTTTTAAACAATGATAATCTAGAAAACGGAGGTATTTTAAACTCACATTTGGTAGAGCTATTGTGGAAGCTCTACCGTAATTCGCACGGACGGTACAATCCCCGTCTCAGGATTAGAGGTCCAGCGTCTTTAACACTCCAATGGTATAGTGATACGGATCGAATAAAAGAAAAAAGGGAAACTCCAATGGTATAGTAGTTCCAAATCCAAATATAAAAGAATAAAATGAAAGTAATTATACTCACATTTGCTAGAGCAGACAACTTGCTCTAGTATATAGGGCTTGTAGTGGTATAATCCCCACTATAGGATATATAGGTCAGGAGGTAATGAGGAAAAAATAAATAGTATAATAAAGTAGAATATCACTTTAAAAAATATTTAATAGTAACATAAGTAAAACAAAATGCTATGTAACATAACACTTAACGCGTTTCGCCAGTTGGCTTCATCAGAAGTGTAAAAAAGCATACCTCAAAACCTTCATAAATATATAACTTACATAATTACAGATGTCTTCCTGGTGTGTCACGGCCGTGGAACGCACGCGGCAAAACCGGAAGCGGCGCGGCGTTCACGTGTGCGTTGATATCCACCGTGGAACGCACGCGTTGCGCCGGAAGTGACGCGGCGCTTCCGCGGACATATTAAAAACCGTGCGTTCCAACGTGAAACGCACAATAGCCGCAGCTATTGTATTACAAGATTAAAAAAAAAAAATCGAACAAATGGATCAGTAACAAAGAGTCTTCTTTTCCATAATGAGAGCATGGGGATATATAAAGTCCATATAGTCCTTTTTTTGGGGGCAGTCTTGAGAGTCCAAAACTATATGGAAGTGCTTCATCCTTGATTGATCTCTTGTAGATTCAGCCATATTTAAAGGAGGCAAAAGTATGGGCAAAATCATAATAAAAATATAAGAAACATATCCCAATATAAAATACACAAATATAAAAGGGATGATAAAACACTATAAACAAATATATGTATAAAAAAGACCAAAGAAAAAAATAATAACTATACAGTTATATATAAAATAGTAAGACATATGAACATGTCTCTAAAACAAGTATTAAATAAGTGTATTAATGGTAAAAAATACCAATAATTAGTATTTGCACATAGTAAAATAGGTATTAATAAAATTAATAAAAAGAATAAAACAATTAAAAGAAGAGGACCCAGAGAGGAAAAAAACAACAAATATTAAATGGGTATATTAATGTTTTTTCTTTTATTTCGCCCATTTTTTGGGATTATAAAAAATTAAACAAATCAAATTCTATGTTTAAACCATCTGGGTGTAGGGTATTCATATTATAAACCCATTCCATCTCTGTACGTCCTATTTTTTTAATATGATCACCTCCTCTCCAGTGGGATTTAACAGTGGCGATACCGATAAAAATGAGGTTTTTAGGGTCATTATTATGGATGCAAAAGTGGGACGAGACAGAATGATTTTTAAAACCCTTTTCTATGTTTCTGCAATGCTCGGCAATTCGTGTTTTTAAAGGTCTGATGGTCCGTCCTATATATTGGAGGCCACAAGGGCATTCCAATAAATATATAACATTTTTACTATTGCATGTAATTATTTCTTTTATATTATAAGGTTTGCCATTGTTATTTGATTTAAAATTGGATCTTAACTTAGGTGTAACTTTAGTTTTTTTGCATGCAATACACGTATTGCATTTGTAAAAACCGTTTGTCGCATTTAAAAAAACTAGCCCCTATACCCTTTTTCTCAGGTTTAGTATAATTTTTTGTAAGGTGCATCTTTAAATTAGGCGCTCCCCTAAAAACTATTTTTGGTCTCTCTGGTATCAGGTGTTTAAGAATAACATCTTCTTTCAATAAGTGCCAGTGTTTATTAATAATCTTTTTAAGTTCTCTATTTTTATTATTATAATCTAATATAACAGGAAGTGCTATACTTTGTTTTTGAGTTCTCTTCTTAGATAGTAAATCTTTCTGGTTGATCGACAGTGCTTGATTAAAAGTAGATTGAATAGTGGTTTTATTATATCCTTTTTTTTTTTAAAAACTTTCTTTAACTGTTTCTGCTTGTTGTTTAAAAACAGAAGTTTCTGTACAATTTCTTCTTAGTCTAAGCATTTGACTCTTTGGAATACTATCTAGCCATACTTTGTTATGGCAACTTTTAGTGTCGATGTAGTTATTGACATGAACCTCTTTAAAATGAGTCTTGGTATGGATTATATTGTTCTTAATATAAATGTTTAAGTCCAAATATGTAATACAAGTGTCACTTATTACTGAAGTTAAAATTATTCCTTCTTGGTTAGTATTTAAGAAGGAAATAAATTCTTTAGCTTCAGTTGAAGTTCCTTTCCATATGAAGAGGAGGTCATCTATGTACCTTGAGTAGGACACCAGTTTTTTTTGCCCAACCATGCTTACTCCAAATGTATCTATCTTCCCATTCCGCCATATAGAGGTTGGCATAGCTGGGCGCAAACCTGGTGCCCATAGCTGTACCTGTTTTTTGTAAGTAAAAACCATCTTTGAACCAAAAATAGTTATTGTTAAGAATTAAATCTATCCCTTCGATTAAAAACTCTATTTGGTCTTGTGGCATACTTTTTTCTTTTTCTAAAATGGTTCTTACTGCTTTACATCCTTGATGGTGCTTAATAATAGTGTACAGGGACTGAACGTCACAAGTAATGAGTAGAAAATCATTCTCCCATTGAATACTCTTTAACTTATTTAATAGGTTGATAGAGTCCTTGAGGTATGATTTTGTTCTAACAACATATGGTTGTAATAAAATGTCTATATATTCAGACAGATTGGAAAACAGAGATCCAATACCGGACACTATCGGTCTCCCAAATAGATAACCAGGATTCGAGGATGTTGTATATTAATATATACAAATTCATTTTTATTAAGAATACCGGATCTCTTTCCTTCCTCAAGAAATAATTGAAGCTTAGATTTCATCTCTGAAGTAGGGTTATTACCAAGTCTTATATATGTATTATCATCATTTAATTGTTTATAAGCTTCACTTTCATATTGTTCTCTTGATAATATAACCAAACCTCCTCCCTTGTCAGCAGGTTTGATGACGATAGATTCGTCGTTGTAAAGGTCCTTTAGTATTTCCCTCTCGTGCTTATTTAAATTAGGTCTATCGGTATATCTGTTGTTTAATTCTAACGTTTTTAAGTCTTTACATACTTTCCGTTCAAATATATCTAGTGCGCTAGATTTTAAATGGGCTGGATAAAAAGTAGATTTTTTTTTTCTTTAAATTACTTCTTATATAATCATTATTTAAATTTGTATTTGTAGTAATGTGTGCAGTTGGTTGTATAGTCTGTGTGTCCTGCATTTTAGAAATAAAAAATCTTTTGAGGGTTGCATTTCTGACAAATTTATTGACATCTATATAAGTAAGGAAAGAATTATATGTTCTGGTGGGAGCAAATTTTAAGCCTTTTTTTAGTATATTAATTTGTGTATTATCTAAGTTTTTATTAGAGAGATTAAATAAACCCGTGGGGGAAGTGTCATTTTCTGTTTTTAGAATCTTCCTTTTTTGCTCTCTTCTCTTGGAGTAAGCATGGTTGGGCAAAAAACCTGGTGTCCTACTCAAGGTACATAGATGACCTCCTCTTCATATGGAAAGGAACTTCAACTGAAGCTAAATAATTTATTTCCTTCTTAAATACTAACCAAGAAGGAATAATTTTAACTTCAGTAATAAGTGACACTTGTATTACATATTTGGACTTAAACATTTATATTAAGAACAATATAATCCATACCAAGACTCATTTTAAAGAGGTTCATGTCAATAACTACATCGACACTAAAAGTTGCCATAACAAAGTATGGCTAGATAGTATTCCAAAGAGTCAAATGCTTAGACTAAGAAGAAATTGTACAGAAACTTCTGTTTTTAAACAACAAGCAGAAACAGTTAAAGAAAGTTTTTTAAAAAAGGATATAATAAAACCACTATTCAATCTACTTTTAATCAAGCACTGTCGATCAACCAGAAAGATTTACTATCTAAGAAGAGAACTCAAAAACAAAGTATAGCACTTCCTGTTATATTAGATTATAATAATAAAAATAGAGAACTTAAAAAGATTATTAATAAACACTGGCACTTATTGAAAGAAGATGTTATTCTTAAACACCTGATACCAGAGAGACCAAAAATAGTTTTTAGGGGAGCGCCTAATTTAAAGATGCACCTTACAAAAAATTATACTAAACCTGAGAAAAAGAGTATAGGGGCTAGTTTTTTAAATGCGACAAAAGGTTTTTACAAATGCAATACGTGTATTGCATCCAAAAAAACTAAAGTTACGCCTAAGTTAAGATCCAATTTTAAATCAAATAACAATGGCAAACCTTATAATATAAAAGAAATAATTACATGCAATAGTAAAAATGTTATATATTTATTGGAATGCCCTTGTGGCCTCCAATATATAGGACGGACCATCAGACCTTTAAAAACACGAATTGCCGAGCATTGCAGAAACATAGAAAAGGGTTTTAAAAATCATTCTGTCTCGTCCCACTTTTGCATCCATAATAATGACCCTAAAAACCTCATTTTTATCTGTATCGCCACTGTTAAATCCCACTGGAGAGGAGGTGATCATATTAAAAAAATAGGACGTACAGAGATGGAATGGGTTTATAATATGAATACCCTACACCCAGATGGTTTAAACATAGAATTTGATTTGTTTAATTTTTTATAATCCCAAAAAATGGGCGAAATAAAAGAAAAAACATTAATATACCCATTTAATATTTGTTGTTTTTTTCCTCTCTGGGTCCTCTTCTTTTAATTGTTTTATTCTTTTTATTAATTTTATTAATACCTATTTTACTATGTGCAAATACTAATTATTGGTATTTTTTACCATTAATACACTTATTTAATACTTGTTTTAGAGACATGTTCATATGTCTTACTATTTTATATATAACTGTATAGTTATTATTTTTTTCTTTGGTCTTTTTTATACATATTTGTTTATAGTGTTTTATCATCCCTTTTATATTTGTGTATTTTATATTGGGATATGTTTCTTATATTTTTATTATGATTTTGCCCATACTTTTGCCTCCTTTAAATATGGCTGAATCTACAAGAGATCAATCAAGGATGAAGCACTTCCATATAGTTTTGGACTCTCAAGACTGCCCCCAAAAAAAGGACTATATGGACTTTATATATCCCCATGCTCTCATTATGGAAAAGAAGACTCTTTGTTACTGATCCATTTGTTCGATTTTTTTTTTTTAATCTTGTAATACAATAGCTGCGGCTATTGTGCGTTTCACGTTGGAACGCACGGTTTTTAATATGTCCGCGGAAGCGCCGCGTCACTTCCGGCGCAACGCGTGCGTTCCACGGTGGATATTAACACACACGTGAACGCCGCGCCGCTTCCGGTTTCGCCGCGTGCGTTCCACGGCCGTGACACACCAGGAAGACATCTGTAATTATGTAAGTTATATATTTATGAAGGTTTTGAGGTATGCTTTTTTACACTTCTGATGAAGCCAACTGGCGAAACGCGTTAAGTGTTATGTTACATAGCATTTTGTTTTACTTATGTTACTATTAAATATTTTTTAAAGTGATATTCTACTTTATTATACTATTTATTTTTTCCTCATTACCTCCTGACCTATATATCCTATAGTGGGGATTATACCACTACAAGCCCTATATACTAGAGCAAGTTGTCTGCTCTAGCAAATGTGAGTATAATTACTTTAATTTTATTCTTTTATATTTGGATTTGGAACTACTATACCATTGGAGTTTCCCTTTTTTCTTTTATTCGATCCGTATCACTATACCATTGGAGTGTTAAAGACGCTGGACCTCTAATCCTGAGACGGGGATTGTACCGTCCGTGCGAATTACGGTAGAGCTTCCATAATAGCTCTACCAAATGTGAGTTTAAAATACCTCCGTTTTCTATATTATCATTGTTTAAAAATTGTTAAACATACTACACTATTGTATATATTTTCTCTTTGTGTTCTCTTTTTGAGGAAACATTATCTACAATAATTAAGAAACATCTAGTGTATGTATATACAGTTAATGTAAGGCGCGGTTTCCTTCTTTCTTTTTACACCCCCCCTTTAGTGTGTCTCCTACAACACCTCTTATGTATTTCTTACTTCCCCACCAGCCCCTTTCTGTCTCTTTCTTCCCCTCAGTCCCTATCTATCTCTCTTTTTCTCCCATATAGACATAGATAGAGGCAAATATACATATATGCACAAAAACACAAACGTACAGACACAATACCATACAAGCACACAGACCTAGTTATTGAGGCACACAGTCACAAAGATATACAGACACACAGTCATAAAAGGCACACAATCAAACAAACACAGTCATACAATCTACACATACAGATACACTGTCATACAAACACAGACATACATTCATACAGACACAGACAAAGAAATGTAGAGAGTCATATAGAGACATACATACACAGTGATACAGAGACATACATATGCAGGCAGTCATAAAGAGACATACAGACAAGGCATACAAAGACATACATACACAGACAAACAAAGAACCCTGCACACTGATACAGTGTAAATGCTCCAACCATCCACAGTGGTGGATGCTCCGTGTCAGGCGGACATTGCTGGATCCACCAGTAAAGTCTTCAAAAGGAATTAATGCAGGCAACACTCCAATAGTAAGGATGGTATATTTATTGATGGGTGAACCACCCCATTGAAATTGAGACGTTTCGGCTCAGCAGAGCCTTAATCGTGCAATAAGGCTCTGCTGAGCCGAAACGTCACACTTTCTATGGGGGTGGTTCACCTATCAATAAATATACCGTGCTTACTATTGGAGTGTTGCCTGCATTTATTCCTTTTGAATACATACACAGACAGTCATACAGAGACATACAGACTCTATGTCTCTGTATGACTGTCTGTGTATGTATGTCTGAGTATGTACACAGGGTGGCTAAAAGATAGATCCCAATCTGTCATGCAACTTCAACAATGCTTTGAAAGCTGGGGCTCTACCAATTCCCCATGCTTACAGGATTGTATTTAGCACGGAGCAGAATATGTGTGTTTGCATGGAGTATGCTTGTGTGAATGTAGGGGTGTGTTTGTATGTAGTGTTTGCGTTTGAATGCAAGCATGCATTTATGTGTAGTGTTGTTTTTTTAATGCAGGGGTGTATTTATATATAAATTTGGTGTCTGATACAGAGGTGTTTGTATGTAGTGTTGACATTTGAATGCAGGGGTGTGTTTGTATGTAGTGTTGACGTTTGCATGCAGGTGTTTATTTGTGTGTAGTGGCTTTTGAATGCTGAGATGTACGCACATATACACATACACTGCCACACACACACACTGTGATACACATACACGAAGATACACATGCAGATACACAGATACAAATATACACAAACTGATACAGATTCAGATAGACAGACACACAGATACACACTGACAGACACACATACACACTGATAGACATACAGATACACACACAGACACACTGACAGACAGACATGCACACACACACACACACTGACAGACATAGATACACACAAACACACTGACAGACATACACACAGACACACTGACAAACATGCACTCACACACACACACAGATACACACACATGCTGGTCAAAATATACACTTTTCTAGCCACTCGCCTGTTTCCTACTTTGTGGGTTCAGGAGGGTGGCTTACCAGGGATCCACAGTGCTGCCTGAGGTAGTTGGGAGTTGGAGGAGGTCCTGGCCAGCCCCCCTCCTCTCTGCCTTCTCCTGCTCTCGCTGCTCTAGTCTTCTTGGGCGGAAGTCCTCCCATGCTGATGAGAAGGGGGCCGGCAGTAGCTCCGCCCCTACTGGGCACCAGCCGCGCGGTGTGCTACAGAGGCAGCAGAGATATGAAATGTTCATATCCCCACCCCCTCCCCACAGTCCGCGGCACTGCAGGTTGGTGCTCGGCCACGCTACAAGCAGTGACCGGCAGGAGAGAGGCGCTATGCGCTTCCCTCCTGTAGGCCACCCAGACATTTGCACCCCCGGGCTGGTGCGCCCTAAGGCACCCGCCTTTGCCGACTTATGGACACGCCGGCCCTGCCCATACCTTGTATTATGATAACTGAAATTAATTTATCTTGCCTGTGATAGTTTCTAACCCAAACTCTAGCATGAGTATCTAGCAGACCAGCTATGTAGCATGTGGTGTATTCTGGTAGTAAATAAAAAATCATTGTGCATTAGATGCTGGAAAATATTTAAAATATCCAGCTTTACAGTGCTGGATATTATTTAAAGCCAGAAAAGTCTCAAATTCCTGTGATGCAAATTGGACCATTGTCTCAAAACCAATGTTTTAGGCAGTTCAAATTTTACAAACAAGCTGTAAAGTATGACAATAATTTGTTCTACCATAGTACTTAAAATGCAAAACAAAATAGGTGCACTGTACCTTTAAATATTAGTGCAAATAGTGCAATAATTTGTGCAAAAACACAGTGTGTATACAATATAGTCACATTCAGTGTAACATAGGTGCAAAATTGCAAGTGTAATAGTGGAAAATCCGAATAATAACTTACAAGGAAAGTGTATATCTCCTTTTGATTCTCCAAATCACATAAGAACATATGTAAAGAGAGATATAAAATGGAGAGACATAGTGTAATATTGTTTATACATAGGTATAAGAACCAACAATGTAAAAATAGGAGTATCACTCACAAAAAAAGAGCAGTAAAAGCCTGCTCTAACTGATCCAGCTTTTAATCCACACTTACGCCATCACGTGACCAGACGTAACTCCGAGTTCTAGGAAGTGAAACCTGCAGTGCCGAAAATCACCAAGGACTGGTAGATATTTGCAATACAGCACTGGCAAAAGGTTATCAGACTTCTATATGGAAACGGGGAGTGTGGATTTTATTTACTTTTTTAATAAAGGCTGTTTACTTTGAGAGCTAGTGTTCTGCCTACTTGTACCAACATTGAAGTCCTGGTCTGTGGATTAAAAGCTGGATCAGTTAGAGCAGGCTTTTACTGCTCTTTTTTTGTGAGTGATACTCCTATTTTTACGAGTGATACTCCTATTTTTACATTGTTGGTTCTTATACCTATGTATAAACAATATTACACTATGTCTCTCCATTTTATATCTCTCTTTACATATGTTCTTATGTGATTTGGAGAATCAAAGGAGATATACACTTTCCTTGTAAGTTATTATTCGGATTTTCCACTATTACACTTGCAATTTTGCACTTATGTTACACTGAATGTGAATATTTTGTATACACACTGTGTTTTTGCACAAATTATTGCACTTTTTGCACGTTCTAATATTTAAAGGTACAGCGCACCTATTTTGTTTTGGATTTTATGTATGGTGTTTTATGAGCTTGTACACTTTTAGGTGCTGCTACACTTTTATTATCTTTACATTCATTTAATATTAAGCACTTTTAGCGCCTTTTATTGCTTGTTTGTTTTTTAGCTACCATAGTACTTGACATTTACACCACTTCTGGTCACTTAAAATGAGCTTCTACAGCTATTAAATCCATCCACTGATCCTGCAAAATCAATATGTCTTGTCCAATGTTCAGTTGGCCATGGCCAAGTCTTGGAGGGATCCCTCGTCGGATTCTACTGAGTCTGTGCACATGTAAGTAGCTACATGAGAAGAGATATTTGTACCCAATACAGGCCACCAAATATACTCCCGTGCTCTTAGTTAGACATAACCTTCTAAAGGTGAAGCCCATGGAGCAACACAGGAGGGGAGTGGGCCTTGACAGGGCCAGAGAGTTGGCAGGTGAAGTTAAGGTCAAGGGGTGTGGAAAAGTAATGTCTGGACAGGGGGGGGAGGAGAATAAGGGTTTAAATAACAGCCAATTTGGTGAGCTGGCCTTTTTAATCAAAATTACACTTACTTGATACTTGTCCCTCCCACCCTCCCTTTGTGTTCGGTTGTCTTGTTTGGTAGGTAGTTTCCCGTTTGGTCACAGCGGCGGGAATAGGGCCTGGGTTAAAGAGGATTTAGGTGGAATAGGAAGTGGGCAGGCCAAGGTCTAGGCTGGACTATGCCGGAGTGGAAAATGGTTTGTAGGTTCTAGCTCGTTGGTGGCTACGAATCTGGGGGTGTAGGGGTGTCTGGGTACACCCCTACAGTTAAACATATGGTTATGGGGCCTCTTTGGTAGGCCATGGGTTAAACGTTATGTATTATTGGAATGTTTTATTATGTTATTTGGTAGGGTCATTGTCGGGGGTATTGGGCAAGAAGGTCGGACATAATTAATACTTGTGACAATGACCCTAAATTGTTAAATTGTTGAATTAAAATTTTTAATAAAGCTGTGGACTTTATACTCCAACAGAAATGGTGTCACAGAGTTATTTTATTAAGGTTTTAGCACATGCCGAATAACGACTGTGCACATGTCATGTAAAATAGACAATAATGGTTTGTGGTTTGTGATCAGAGTAGAAGGTCTGCCGTAAATATGAATGTGGACTTAATTCACAGCCCAAATTATTGCTAAAGCTTCCTGATAAATGTAGGCATCGTTTTTTCTCAGCCAGGGTTAAAGATCTGGATGCAAGAGACACAAGGTGTTCCAAAACAGCAGGCATAATGTGTATAAACACTGTGCCCAAACCATATAGAAAAGCATTACAGGCTAGTACAAAATGGTTCTTAAGGAGTCTTGAATCCAGAAGTTGTTTAGAGCGTTAAAATGCCTTTGAAAACAACTCAGTCCAGGCTCACTGTTTATCACTATCTAAAATACAGTTTAATGGATATATATTTAGTGAGCCAAATTTGGTAAGAAACTATGGTAATTGAGCTTACCAAAATAAGAACATAGCTGGGATACATGGACAGGAGTGAGAGCATGAACTAGTCATGTGGACTCCTAACTGTCACGTAAGAACTCACACTAATGTATACTTACATTCAATCTGAATTTCTGTAGGTGTTGTAAAACTGCTTTTCACGACCTATAGGCATTTTATCTAACATGCACTGCGTATGCGGAATACCTGCCAGTATCTCACCCATTATCCGTTGCCAAACTGTAGGCACTGGGGCAATTTCAAACACCATCCATGTATACTGAAAAGGCCCTCTGTGAGTGTTGACAGTTAACAAATGTCTGGGGTGTATCTCCAACTGTAGGTACGCTTGATGTAAGTCAATTTTAGTAAATTTTTCTCCGCCCGCAAGGGAACTAAAAAATTCTTCAATCCGTGGTAAAGAATATTGATCAACAACTAATTGTAGGGTTAAGTGCTAGTGTGAAATCTCTGCAAATGTGAATGTCTCCATTTTGTTTTTTGACAGGAACTAATGGGGAAGCCTGTTCACTGCTGGAAACCGTAGTAATACATTGATGTTGTAACCATTCCAGTTCAATTTTAGGTTTCAGTGCAAAAGGTTTACAAAATATACCTTAATTTAAAGCCGAGTTTGCTTGCCTTTGACCAAACCTAATGTTCCATCAAATACAGTCTTATATTTTTTGTTTAATGTTTCAATCCAAGTAGAATTTGAACTGTTGCTGTGATTATTAACTGTTGTGGTTACTCTTGCATGCCTAAAGCTTCAATCCAGGATCTACTGAACAAGTGTGGTTCTCCTCTGGGAAAAAAACCAAACAGTTTTTTTGGGGGGGGGGGGAAGGAGGGGTGACTAGGGTCCCCCCCTTTGTATTTAGGGCCCCCACCCACCGCTCAGGGGTGGGGGCCAGGGGGGACAGTAGGTCCCCCCCCTTATTGTTATTTTTAGGGCCCCCACCCACCGCTTTTTTTTTATTTTTTATTTTTTTAACAGTGAGCAGCCACAGGCGGTATTGCGAGTAGGGGCACAATTTACTAATACTAAGTAATTTTTACTTAGTATTAGTAAATTAATAGGGAGCAGACCGAACATCTCATATGTTCGCCGTCCGTGGCGAACGCGAACACGCTATGTTCGCCAGGAACTATTCGCCAGCGAACCGTTCGGGACATCACTAGTCCTCACTTTGAATTTCCAACAATTCTCACTTTAATGGATAACCCTGTTAGTAACTTAATAAAACTAGGTTAAAATGAATGCGTCACTTGGTAAAAGACTGTGTGAAACAAATTCAACTGATTTTTTTTGGGATGGAGTAGTAAAAAGAATTTATTGGAAAGGAGCAGTAGTTATATTTTATATAGGTTTCAGCACACACTTCAATACTGTTTTTGTCAACTGATGATTACAGGCGGCAAAAGATTGGAATGCAGTGTAACATACCTAATCACACTAGCAAAGGATATGCTCACGATGCAAAATGCCTGTATACTATCTCAAGGGTCTGTCATAAGTTGTAGGACCAAAATTCTTCTTCAACTGTTTACTAATAGAATGCACTGACACTTTAGTTTTGCCTTGCCTTTGAAGTTTAGAATATAAATAATGGGTATTAGGCCATACATTTATTTCCAAGGTTGTCACTGCTGAGTCTGCTGACACACTGTTGACTGCAGCTGAAGAGGCCGTAGCGGTGGATGCCGTTGGCTCTGGTTCATCATCATCATCTTTTTTGAATCAGCCTTCCTTAGTCGTCTTCTTGAAATGCTTGACCACATTCGTGTGGTGCTACTGTTTCCGTAATCAATTGCAGAAGCCAAACACAGAGAGATGGAGGCAGGTCTTCAGGAAGTAAAAAGGTTCTTTATTCATACCGATCGGGTCTCAGATGAACTCCTGTTCCAAAAATATCTGAGAGCCAGAGCACAGATTGCAGAAGCTTTTTGTTAGCAGCATATCTCCTCCCATACAGTATAACCCCTCCTATATTCCTCAGACCAATCAGCAAACAGGATATTCAGGATCACCTTATATGGGCAGACCACATGGTTCATCTGAGACAAAGGAATGTGCTTTCCACTTCCGCACATGCTCAGTACACTGATGACTCATCCAACTGTTTGTAATCAGATACTAATTAGCATATGCCATGTGGAGATTTCGGCCTACTAAATTTTGACCATGCTGGAATCCCATCACACTACTGCTAAATCCTTTTATTAAAGTAACTTTATTAATGCATAATGTTGAAATTTTGCAGAGATTGGGTTGGGAAATGCTTGCCGCAAGCAGTTAGATTGCGCAGCAGTTGGTCTGATAACATTAGGGTTAGGATAGCAAGGTTGCTGAGCCAGATAAGAATAAAAATTAAATTTTCTCCAAAAAATTCAATATACATAATTTAAGAAATATATCAATATGTAGTAGTTAGTAAACTTGGAAAAAAAAACAACAAATAACAATTTGATGACAGTTGTCCCTTAATTTGTCAACCACTACACATACTGAAGAACCATTGAGCAGATTAACTTGATTGGGGCAATTATGGTACTGCACATGCCCTGAAATTGTGAGACTTGCAAAGGAGACCGGTAGGGGACATGACAATAGGTGTCATTTTAGCAATTCATAGGGGGAGGGCGAGATGGGCATTCTCGGGCAGCTATACTGACCAAACCAATTAGGGTTTAGAATATAATAAAGTTCCCTCATAAGGGCAGGAAAGCGTTGTCAGTTTCACTTAACCCCAATGTATTCATTGATGACTTATATGGACTTTACTCTGGCATCCCACTTCTAATAAAAAAAAAAATACAGTCTGCAGTCTGAGGCATGGAACCTGCACAGTCATTGTATCTGTCCCTATCCCACAACATGGGACTATGACTGTCGATCAGTCCAGATAATGCTAGTTGCATGATCCAATAGCTGTACCCCTGGCAGCTGTGGGGACTCACCAGATAGGGTCGTACTGTTTAACTTTTATTAATGTACTTTACTTTTATTAATTTTGCCAATTATTGAATCTTTTTCTTCCTGTATTACAGCACGAGTGTATCCGGGTCCTAGTGATATTTGCTATTTTTGCGTTTACCTTCATATGGCTGTATGTAACTCTTATTCTGGGAAATGACATACACAATTTTAACGAGTGAGTATGACTACACATTCCTCTTTCTGTGGGTTTGCATTCCCGTCATGTATATTTTGCTCTGTTTTGTTTTTTTATGCTCAGGTGTGTTTGTCTCATGTTTCTAAGTGTTGTAACATTTGTTTCCTACAGGTATATTTTCAGATCCGCCGGTTTGTGGGTTGACTGGTCTCTTGTGTTGGTCATAGTGACGGCTGTACTACTGACATATTGCTCCTTCCTACTGGTATGACTTGGATAGGGAATTGTGGTAAAAAGAAAGTCAAATATTTGGGTATGAGATAACTGATATGCCCATACAGTGGACAAAAATCTAATCTTTAAAGTGGAACAGTCACTTGCCAGCAGCCATAATATTGTGTGGATTTATCCCCCTATATTTGTTAGATGTGAAGAATAAAGATAAATGAAATCCACACCTCTATATTAGCTGATAGACAATCATTGTTATAAACACTGTCATTTGCAGCTGGCAGTTAGCCTAGAGGGAAGAACAAAAATAAAATGCTTTTGTCTCTTTTCCTCATTTGCATTGTGTGCCTTGGCTGTGCCTGGACAGAAATGTTTTGTAATGCCATTTGCTCAGTCTTTAACCCCTTAAGGACCAAACTTCTGGAATAAAAGGGAATCATGACATGTCACACATGAAGCATACTGTGGTGAAAGGGTTAAAATGTTTACACACTCTAGAATGTAAGCTCATTGAGCAGGGCCCTCCACCTCTCTGTTCCTGTACCTTGAGTTATCTGGTTACAATTAAATGTCTGTTAGTCAACCCTTTGTACAGCGCTATGGAATCTGATGGCGCTATATAAATAATAATAATAATATGCAAGAAGCCCCTCCCCCCCCCTCAAACAAAAACACTTCACAAGCAACCTCCACACAACACTCTCCCAGTCCAGGACTATTTTTAATCTTCTGATGTCTGATATATTGGATATCTTGCATATCTAGGTTGACAATTCTGGATTTATTTTTTTTAAAGCATCCCTATTTCCATATCAGTGCTGCAGTAATTGTTTGTTTTTTTTAAAGTTTTTTTTTTTTTTTTAACAGATAAGCACATTATATTAAAGGTATTAGCTTTGCCACTTGTTCACCAATTATAATATGATCTCAGTGGCTCAGTTTTGCAGTGTAATATTTACTAAAATTAATTATGTCAATATTTTCACAAGACTTTTTTTCTCAGTATTGGGAAAAATTCCGGGGGAGGCAGTGATGCTTCAGTTAACAATTGGTTTTAGGCAGTTGATGTGAGCTTGTTCCAACTAGTTGAATCCAATGAACTAAAATGAAGATCTGATTATGAGTCGGGGGATAATGGCACTACACAAATAATATCGACACCTGCTGGACAGAAAAGGTTATGTCATCCGTAATAATTTGATTTTTTTTTTTGTTCATTTCTTCCTGTGCCTGGCTGCATTGGACTATTGTAGCTGACCTCTTTGTGCCTCACTCTTTGTGGTCAACCTGTCATACTACACATCATCCACAAGGTAAGATACATATACATATATATATATATATATATAAATCCTTGGTCTATCACACGGTCCGTAAGCATTTTGTTTCACTGTGTCATTATTCATTTTTTCTTTTATGACCATTTTTCTTATTGCTCCTTAAACCAGCTGTTTTACATCCTTATCAGGTCCTTCTGACTTTATGTTTTGTGCTGGTCACCCTGGGAATAGTTTTCTTGGATTTGAAGTGGAAGGAAGAATGGGATGCAGTGTCCATATCACTGCAGGTAATTACCCCTCTCCCTTATTTTTCCTTTAATGCAAGACAAGAGTTGGCCCAGTGACATGCCAACTGCTACTTTGTGAATATTTCCAATTTGACTCAATGCCAAACAGACCTCTAGGTATTTCTAAACATAAAATAATCAATCTGTGCATTGCAAATAGAGACATGTCAATGATATATTATTGTGATTACCAGAAATTTTTTTCTGAAAAAGACTTTGTTGTTGATAGGAAGTTCAAGTATATTTGTATGAGGCAGCAAACAACTGTTGGAGTCTTAATTCATGCTTAAAGTACCACTCTACACCCATAAGGTTTGACAACCACTGTGCTACAAAATGCTACTGGTACATGAATATATAGTCACCACTACAACTTTAACTTAATGAAGCAGTTTTGGTGTATAGATCATGCCTCTGAAGTCTCACTGCTCAATTTTCTGCCATTTAGGAGAGAAATAACTTTGGTTTCTATTTATGCAGATTTAGCCACACCTCACACAGCCTGCTTGAAGAAAAAATAGGTTTAATTTTCAATGAGATTTTAACCTACTTTAGACATTTTTATCTCCTCCTCTGTAAATTGAACTTTAATCACACACAGGGAGCTCCTGCTTGTTCAATCAAGCTATTAAAGGTGCTGGAAACTCTGAAATTAAATTCTGAATTAAAAGGACTGTGCAATAAAGGAAGTGTAAACATTAGATCTCACTATACAGGCAGTGTATAGGAAGGCTGTGCATATTACATGCAGGGAGGTGTTACTAGAGCTGCATAAACAAAGTGATTTAACTCCTAAATGGCAGAGAATTGAGCTGTGAAACTGCAGATGCTAGACCTATACACCAAAACTACTTCATTAAGCTAAAGTTGTTTTGGTGACTATAGTGTCCCTTGTACAGCTGCTATTGAATGTTTCTGCTACTGAATGCTACTGCAAATAAATGCTATTGAATTATACTGCTACTGAATTTATGGCTGCTGTTTAATACTACTGAATACTACTTAATGCTACAGAATATTAAAAAGCATCCCTGTTTGCATATCATTGCTGCGGTAATTGTTTCTGAGTAGTCTGTTGACATCTGGCACTGTGGAGCAATAGTACCAAAAACTTTTTATTTATTTTATAAAAATATAAACGTAGACTGGTACCCAAATTATGATAAAGAAATTAGCTTGGCCACTTATTTTCCAATTATAATATGATCTCCGTGACTCATTTTTCCAGTGTAATATATATTGAAATTAACTATGTAAATATTTTCATAAGACTTTTCCCCAGTGTTGGAAGAAACCAGGGGAGAAAGCCACTGATGTGTGGTTGCTGTTAAATGTGTGCCCAGGTTAGGACAGTAGTTATACGGAGTTACCAAAACTCTACAGCAAGCAATCCATTGTTGCCGGCTAATAATGTCACCCCTCTCTATGTGTAAAGCAATACTAACAGGAGAATTCACTAGACTGAGAAGGTATTGTTCTTCTTTCACTGATGTTTGAAAGAAAAGCCAAGCTTTTTAAAGAAACATTATTCGCTTAATCTCATGAAACACATCCATTTAAAAGTGAAACTGAAAACTCAAAGCTTTTGCTTAGTTGCAGTTCAAGTACCAAGAAACAGGAATCCTATTGTGCAAATTTACAGCCAAAATCTACCAGTTGTAAGGGAAGACCATGTACGCTGTAATATATGCAAATCTAGTTTAAGATGTTGTACACAATGAGCAAAAACATTGGGGTCATTTTTGTGCCCTAGCAATCTTACAACTGACAGTAGATTACAAAATATTTCCACCTGGCTTACCGGTTTGCGTACTTTTAAAGGTTGAAGCAGAAGGCGTAACCCTTGCCATTATGTTAGCAGTGGGCACAATTGTTCATCAACAATAACAGAAAAAAAATATGATATAAAAGTTTATATCAGCTGCACCACTAAAGGGGTAATCTGTACAATTACATGCGATGTATGTTAAGCCCAATACACGAGACAGAGTAGAAGAAAATGGAAATCTCGGATTTTAAAACATTGGTGGCATTGAATCAATGAAGGCTAAACAAACGCTTATCTGAACATGTTAGATCCTATGCAGGAAAGGATCTTACAAAATCCATGGTTCAGGGCCTAGTGAACTGTAAATTTGGAGTTAAGATGCAAGTAAGCAATTTAGATTTTAATGCTAAAAACAAAAAACAAAACAAAAAAAAACAGATCACCAAAAGGTTTAAATATGTTATTGAATCTTAATGGTATTTTTTTGATATTAAAGTATCACTTAGTCTCACATTAATTTAAACATTCATTTTTGGCCTACTTGATATTGTTGGAGGTCCAGTACATTAATAAGAGTGTAACTAACTGCTGCCTTTTTGAGCAGACTTGATTATTTATTATGATGATTTTCTTTAAGATGGATTGTAACACGGTTTTCCGGCTCTTCAGACCTTTGCCATATTGAGAAATAAAAATTTATGTAATGTGTGTGTATGTATATATGTGTGTATGTGTATATATGTATATATATGTGCATATATATATATATATATATGTATATATATATATATATAAAATATGTGTGTGTGCTTAATTAAATGCCCATCATGTTATATATATATTCTTGTGCCTCTTTTCCTTTCATTGCATGCTCACGGTAGTCCATGATTGTGTAAAATAATCCCTATGCAATTGTTTAGTATTCTTCCCCTATACATTAAAATCTTAATTATTACAGGAGGAGTAATATTTACACTAAATCTTAACATAAGACATATTTTTGGAAGATTTGGAAAATACATTATTAATATATAATAATCATTCATTAGATATTGTGATACTACTTATATTACGCATTGCATTGAAGGTATTAACGATCAGCCCTTTTTATGCAGTTTTAAGGTAGTATTGCTCTTACATAGAATGTGACGGCAGATAAGAACCATTCGGCCCATCTAGTCTGCCCAATTTTCTAAATACTTTCATTAGTCCCTGGCCTTATCTTATAGTTAGGATAGCCTTATGCCTATCCCACGCATGCTTAAACTCCTTTAGATGGTCTCTATTAGAGTTTTGTATTTGCATTGTTTTATCAGCTGCACCATCCTTTATTTATAGCAGAACCTGTTTATGGGGTGATATTTTTTACACAGTTTCTACATGAGTGGCTTGAGCAAGGCTCTTGTGTGAGACGAAACGTTGCCTATTCATCTTCAATACCGTCTGCAATTTGGGATAGAGCTTATGTGTGCCCAGATATTTTTTCTTTGGTCTACAATTTCTTAAATTTTTGTGGTTTGATATTTACTAACTTAGTGTGTCACACATCAGTGGTTAAGGACTTTGAGGCAACTGGGCAGGAGCCCTTACAACCATTTAAAGGCAACTGTCACCTCATAATTAATATTTCTATTACAGTGTTTGAAAAACCAATGGTTAGTCTCTATGGTCTTCCCTGCTTCTGTGCAGGGAGTGAAGTAGGCAAGACCATAGAGACTAACTGTCGGTTTTCAAACACTGTCTGACCAAAGGTGCATGTTTATGGTGGAATGATCCCGTCATATACTATGCTTCATTTGGGTATTGATTAATTTTTCTCATTTTACTTATTTATTTTTACATGTGTCATTTAAAAAAAAAAAAATCTATTTCCTCTCAAAACACGATGGAAGAATTATTGTATTAAAAAAAACTAATGTTGAGTTGACAGTCGTCCTTTAAATCACTGTGGACTAGGTTTTTTTTTTTTTTTTTTTTACATAATCAATTCCATTGTGAAAGGTGTTCAGTGATTCTTTTTTGGCTTTATTTGGCATATGTAATCCCTCTGCAAAATACTTAGTGGTTTGGGGGTTATTTGTCTGCAAAGGCCTTCAGATTCTTCATATTGATCTCAACTTGGAGTTTTTCTATATAGACCTAGATTTGTGCCAAGAGATATTGTCAATCTGAAAGAGGAAAGGGCCTTCCTAAAATTGTTCCAATACGTTGGAAGCTGACTTGTTCTGTTCTATTCTGAAGGGTAATCCAACCCAAAACATTGTTTTTGAATGGAGTAACCCTTGCTGGAATGCCCCCATTAAAAAAAAAGCTAAATTACATCGTGGAAATGCTTCCACTGCATTTGCCGGTGACATCACACCCATAACCCCCCAACACTTGTTTTGAGGATAGTTGTAAGGTTGCATATGTGGGATGCTGCTTGTGATGTCGTGTTCCTGCATGTCAATGTGTTGTTAGAATACTTTTACATGGGTGCTATCTAATGGTGTGTGTGTGTGTGTGTGTGTACATGCGCAAGGAGGCTGTCTCAAAGATCTCCCCAGCCAGAGCATGCCTAAGTGGTCTTTCCGCCACTGCAGAAATCCCAGCAACATGCCTTGATCCCCTACAGCTTAAAGGACCACTCTAGGCACCCAGACCACTTCAGCTTAATGAAGTGGTCTGGGTGCCAGGTCCAGCTAGGGTTAACCCATTTTTTTTTTTATAAACATAGCAGTTTCAGAGAAACTGCTATGTTTATAAATAGGTTAATCCAGCCTCCAGTGGCTGTCTCTTGAGAGCCGCTAGAGGCGCTTGCGTGCTTCTCACTGTGAAAATCACTATCATTATGAATGCTTTCCTATGAGACTGGCTGAATGCGCGCGCAGCTCCTGCCGCGCATGCGCATTCAGCCGAAGAGGAGGAGGAGAGCTCCCTGCCCGGCGCTGAAGAAAGGTAAGATTTTAACCCCTTCCTCTCCCCAGAGCCCTGAGGGTGTTTTCCTGGCACTATAGTGGTCCTTTAAACTTGACATTTTACATGAGGGTGGGGGGGTCAAAAAGTTACAGAAATATTCTTGTTCTGATGTTATTTCTAGAGGCAGACACCTTTATCGAAAGCAAAAAAATCTAAGGCAAGGTAATTTACAGAATATCTTCATTTGGTTCAAGTGATCTTCCTAATATTAATCACATTTAGTATTTATGAGAAGTGGTGACTCTTTTGCTTAATAATTAACTAGGAATCATGGGAAATTTTTAAAAGGGAAGTTGCAAACATTAGGCTAGAATTGTAAAGGGGAAATTGTAGAGCTGAGAAATTCCCACTATGTTGGTTTAGTTTATAGATTCTACTTTGTCTACTGTGCCTCTTCAACTAAGTGAAACCATGTATTTTTTTAAGGGGCCATGAATGGCTTCATTCATGCTTGAATGACGGGTAGAGAATGAATTCATTCATTTTCCCAAAGACCCTTTTCTGTATTTCTAAATATCCTTTTCTGAACTTGCTTGAGTATATCTGACTTCTCCTAAAAAGCAAAACGTTTAATATATGAAAAGTAATTTTGATTGACTTAATTGCCTTTATAACATAAAAGAAAACCTCTTGTTTAAACCAAATTTGTTCTGAGAATATACGGAGCCCCAAATGCAAAGAATACAGAAGGTTTACCATTACCTCTACCTAAAGGACTTGTTGGATTGTATATAACCTGGAAACCGTTATTATTATGACAGTTCATTTTACTGATGTGTATCTCTAAGTATTGCCTTGGTAACATATAATAAACCTGTAGTATCTTGCAGTCATTTTTGTGAATGCAAGAATTGCAGATATTCATATCACAGAATAATAGAATAACTCAGATTATTTATAATCCACTGTAACTAGATTAGAATAAACAATTCAAAATAAATGTATATTTTTCTGGTAAGTCACCCCCCTGAAGAGATCATAGTGTTCTATACCAAATTCTTATATCGGTAAATATTTTGTAGCAGCTGAGCTGCCATGGCTGGGATCTTGGATAGTAAGCTAGTCTAGAGCTGTGATCCAACTTTTGTACCTTTATATATTGTTGCACTGTCACCTGGTTTGAAGTCCCAATTCCCCCACCTACTCTTAATACTCTATAGCAGTGTTTCTCAAATGGGTCCTCAAGACCCACCAACAGTCAAGGTTTTGTCAGTACCTCCATTGGTATAAAACAGGGTAATGCATAGATCCTGGATTGTTGGTGGGCCATGAGGACTGGTTTGGGAACCACCACTCTATAGCCATTCCAATGGCCTTAAAATGGTACAGTGTCCCAACTGTTACCTCCTGCTTATTTCAGTACTTATTTCTCTTTTGTGCCTTTCTCCTTTTCAGATGACCAGTCCCTTTCTGCACATTGGAGCTGTGGTTGGAGTCTCGGCATTTGCTTGGGTCGTAGCTGGATATTACTGGGGCACTAGCAGCAAAGGTACAATCTGTCAGCCAGTATAAAATCCAGTTTGAAATGGGAAAAGAAAATAAGGAATCTAGAAATATTAATGAAATAGTAGACTACAAATGTTTCTTGCATAATCAAAAATCCAATTCAAGTTATTTTATTACTTATATTTACTATGTGTTTACTGTCTGCCCCTTTGGTAGGTGTGTGATGCCCTCTGGGTTCAGTTCTGAGTCCAGAATGATTAATTAAATGTGTGTATCGGTACTACACCAGCCCATTCATTGAGCCCAACTTTACAATAAGGGGGGGTAGGTGGTATTGCACCATTTTCATGAAACACTGAATAGTGCTTAAAAATATTTTAATGTAAAATGCATCTGAAAAATGGGTTTTATCACAATTTCCACTGCTATAGTTGTTGCATTTTCATTTCTGAAAAGTATATCTCCCATAACCTTTACTTTTTCCCCTACTACAGTGTTTAAGTGGATCATTTTGACAGTGTTCGCTATTCTCCTGGTTGCCCTGTATATTTCACCTTTATTTATATCATCCCCCTGTATCTTGGAGTCATCAAAACTCCCCTCTAAGCCGAAGATTTATGGACATCGTGGTGCTCCTATGGTAGGGGAATGAAAGGGAAGGATATCATTTCCTGCTGATGTGAGAGAGGGTGGAAGGGTTTAGGTGAAAGATGGATGTTTGTGATTGACAGGTGTAATGTTTTCTTTCAGTTGGCTCCAGAAAATACAATGATGTCATTTGATAAGCTGGTGGCAGTTGGGGCTGATGTGTTCGAGACTGATGTCATGGTGAGGTAAGAATGGAAATGAACAAAATATCTAAACCCTCTTGCACAAACAACAATTGTCCTTCACAATGCCTCACATGTCTCCTTAGTTTGGATGGAATTCCTTTTCTGATGCACGATAGTACCTTACAGCGCACTACAAATGTGAAAAATGTGTTTCCAAACCAAGAGAAAGAAAACAGCTCAAACTTCACCTGGAGTGATCTTCAACAGCTCAATGCTGGGGAATGGTTTTTGCAGGTAATCACCTTTAACATCCTGTCCTCATTGAAAATACTTATGTATTTTTCTATATATTGGACATCGGTTCCACCTTCTATAGCTTAAACACTTGTCTCTCTTTGCATGTATACTTTTCAACCCATGAGTTCTTCAAAAAGCCAAAACCTTCCCCATATCACTCATTGTTGACTGTTGATTTGGTATCCAATTACAGAAGAATCCATTTCATACGCTGGGGTCACTGAGTGAGCCTGACATTCAGGAGGTGAAAAAACAGAAAATTCCCTCTTTGGAAAATCTTCTGAATGCAGCGGAGAAGCACAACATCTCAGTCCTATTTGATCTCCGTCAACCCCCTGATGGACATCCATTCAATGAGACTTATGTCAATGTCACCTTAACAACCATATTAAACTCAAAGATTCGTCCAGAACTAGTGAGTATTAAGCTGTCTGTCACTTCATTCCTTGCACAATACTAATTTCTCTGCAGAAAAAATACGGACTCTGTTGTCCTTACAGCATTACTAGACACTTTTTAGTAGAGTATTTTCTTACTCTCACCAGGTTCTTTGGCTCCCAGATGAGGAACGAAACTTGGTTATAGTTGAAGCTCCTGGTTTCCGACAGATATATGGGAGAAAAAAGGAGGAAAATGAAACATTGGATTTTGTCAATTTGTCCTATAAAAACCTGACTGTGTCTGAAGTCCGGTGAGAACGTGATATTTTCTCCTTTAATCTGTCTTTCTACAATTGCTCAGATTGCTCAGTACTTTTCAATGGTGTGTATATGTATACATATATTGTATCACTTTCTAGAGTTGCAGGATCTGCCATATTTGATTGTCACATGTAACGTAATGTTAGGAACCACGAAAAAAGTTCTGTTCTGTAGTATGTAGTATTGCTTAATCACAAAATATTATGGCAGTTCCTTCTTGTTAATTTCCTTTCTACACAATACATTGCATCAGTTTTCATTTACTGCTCATGAACAATTTGACGTGACAAATGGGGAATTTAGCAGCTCTGCGCCTCTAATTTATCATCTATTTGACATGTTTCCTTCCTCCTCTAGCTACTCATTTTACCCATATTTCCTCTCTCCTTAGCTCATATCGGAATGATAACATATCAGTCAATTTCTATGTGGTTAATAAACCCTGGCTCTTTTCCCATGCATGGTGTGCTGGAGTCACCTCTGTCACCACCAATGCATGTCAACTTCTGCAGGCTATGCAACGTCCTTGTTGGGTCTTGGTGAGTAATATACTGGACAATCTTTCTCAACTCTGAGTACAATGAGTACTCTTACACCATTCACTCCTGTATAGGACACTAATGTGATTGTGTATGATTTTTCCTTTGACTGTGCCTTCATGCATCTTTTGCCCTTCAACCCATCATTCATGAACCACTTACTAGACTAACAAACATCTCCCATTGAATGAAGATGGCTATAGAAACCTTTTTTATTAAAAAGCTGTAAACCATTTTCCATATGTAAACCTGGTCTCCATATTGTCCATTCATGTCCACTTGCCAGGGGTGATCCTGGAGAACTCGTACATTACATTCAAACATGGCTCACCAAGAAGCCTGCTTACCATGGAGCAAATGAATGGCTCATCTTCAACCTGGACCACATTCCTGGCTGGCTACTTATAGGAGTATTAGAAATACACTCAAGAGGATTTTCACAGTAGATGTGTACATGTATATATGAATATTGAACAGATAAATGTGCAAACAAGGTGCATGCATAATCTTGTTTCTTGATAAACAGGTGCAATAGTGTGCTTATTGTTTTGACTTTTATTTTATTCTTCATCAAGATCTGCATCCTTTTTCCTTCACATATAACGCAACTTCACTGTTTGGACTTTTCCTTCACTCATTACTTTTCCAATCCGATTAATTTCTGATCAAAGTCAGGGCAAGGAATTTTTTGGCTACACAGGCAAAGATGCAATTTGCCACACACTCCCCTCCACTCGTCACACTCTTCAACACCCAGGTAAATTCCTGCAGAGTGGTCAAGCTGTTAGCGCTCAGTGATGTTTTTTTCCCCCCTCAAAGCTTCAACTTTGTTTGGCTGGTTGCCATGCTATGAGAGGAGACTGCAGGAACATGATGTAAAATCTATGGGTTCTGAGGCTAGTGAGGAAGTGAAAATGCAGCACTGAGTGCTATCTGCTCATCTTCGCTACATAAGATTATATGGGTGGCAGTGGGGACCAATGGAGGTGGAGCAGCTGGTTCTCTGAATTTCGGCATTGGTGGGACCAAAAACATCCTACATGGCTCCAGGGTAAAGCAAGTAACACAAAACAAAATGCAGTCTGCACTAAGGAGTAAACACTCATGAACAACCGAAATATCCACAGAAATAATGAAAAGGTGCACATTCATTGATATAAAAATTGCAGCGATGTATGGCAGAAAATAGTCATGGCAGCACTCCAAAAAGCTGAATATAAGAGCAGTAATATTGAGTAATGCAAACAGCATATAATAGTCACAAGATGAATATATAGATATCCAGGCAAGGACAACACACTTGCACAAAATAGGAACACTTTAAGGAATGAAATATTCAGTAGTTGTAATACCTGCTGCTGCCAGACGTGAGGAAGACAACCTACACCGCCACCCACAAAAAGGTAAGAGTGAGTACCCTGGTGCTTTCTTAGCAACTTGATTTTTGGGATGCTGCCATGAGACTATTTTCTGCCATACATCGCTGCAATTTTTATATCCATAAATGTGCACTTTTCCATTATTCCTGCATTTTTTTTTTTCTATGGATCAAAGAATGAGTGCGGACTGCATTTTGTTTTGTGTAACTTGCTGCATATGTGGGACAACCCACCAAGCTTGAAAAAGACCTCTTGGTGGGTCGAAACGTTGCTGTTAATTTTGTTGCAATAAATCTGCATACGGCTTTCACATTTGGAGTGCCTGGAATCTTTCTTATTGCCTTGTACTGTACATTGCTCATCAACTAACCAAGGTGTATCATTTGGTGCTATGTGCCATTAAATTGAAATGTTTCTACTGTCTTTCAGGATCCAAACTACTACTTGATAACATGGATTGTTGCAGACTGTGTATCTTTTCTCCATATAATTTGGGCATTTATCATTCAGAGGTCAGTTGAGTTAACTAATTTCCAAACACTTGCTTTCTTGTTTGAAAATAATGAACTACTCTGGAGTGATATATATATGTGTGAACAGGATGATCAGTTTTCACTTTTTTTTTAGGGCAGGTTTGACAGTTTATCACAATTTCTATTTTATTGAACAAACCCATGTACTATTGATTACAGTGAATTCCTCACTAAATTCTAATTAATCTCTTCCAAATTGCAATTGAGTTGGGATTGCCATTGACATTAATTTTTTTTTTTTTTTTTAATATCACTTCTTTTGCAAATATATTCAACAGAGCAATAAACCTCAATGTTTAGGTACTTTGTGAGAGATCCTGCAGTAAGTGTAAAGTGTCACATTTTGGTCATTTCTCGATTTTTAGTAAGGCAATTTGAATATCCCTGTGTAAGACTTAATTTGGGTGAAAATTTGATGACCTGACATTAACTTGAGAAAATTAAATTTGATGTTCAAAGCAACACAGTATCAGAATATGCTTACACATGCCTCGTAGTAATATTATCTGTCATTATATTGGCTGCTTACAATATTAGTACTCATTCTGGATGTGGGAGCCAAACCTGAGGAAAAGTGAGGAAAATTGATTCCACTTTCCATATTTTTTTTATTTGATGATCAATCACCATGTCAGCATTGACTAACGAGTTAGCTCCTCCCCCACAGAAGAAACAACAGGAAACAGAACTTTGAAATTATTAAAATATAACCTCCCTCCCTAATCAGTCTTTGTTACTGGCTCCACGGCCCTCACAGAAGGAGAATGGCAGCTTAATGCTGCCATGGGGATTATTCATGAAAAGAAAATTATGGTAAACCTATTTTTCTTTTTTATTCCTGCGCAAACCATGGTAGCATTAACCATTAATTAATACCCAAGCAGTGTATATAGTGGGAGAGAGTTTGCATTAGATACAAAAAACATTACTGAACTAATGGGCATAAAGCCAACCGAGTAGTCATTGGGACATCCCCAATCTATCTTCTCAGACAAATAAGTATACTCTTGAAGCTGTTATAATTTATTGTAGGGAACATTGTTGCTAAATATGGTACCATGTAGGAAATATGATCCAGATAACTAGATCTATAAAGAATCAATATTTCATACTGAATGAATTAGCTAATGAAATACTGTCATAATTACTCACAATTTGTCAAAAACCTGGCTATAACAATAGCATGGTGTCCAGAGTTAACATTCCGAAGAAAAATCAAAAGTATATCCCCTACTCGGCAGATCATGAGACTCATGTAGAAGGTACTGAACAACCTAGTAGAACTGAAAGAATGGGAAAGGAAATAGAACAGTATACCACACAAAAAGGTCATCTAGCCATAAAAAACCCCAATAAAGATATATTAAGGCAATTATGACAGTTGTTACTCTAAACGGCAGAGTTGGATTACTCATTAGGCAGCATAGGTCATTGTCTGTGCCCGGAGCTCCAGCTGCAAAGAGACCCTCCTTAAATAAGAATGAAGCAAAAAACACTGGAGTATATTTGGTGGCCTACATTTGGTACAGATATCTCTTCTCATGTAGCTACTTTCCATGCACGTGCACCGACTCAGTCAAATCAAACCAGGGATCCTTCCAAGACATGGCCAACGGAACCTTGAACAAGACATTGATTTTGATATTGCAGGACCAGTGGATGGATGGATGAATGTATTTAGTGTCTGCTCATTATAGGGGGCTAAAAGTGGTTCAAATGTTAAGTACTACAGCAGAACAAGCTACAATTTTGCTGATTATGTACAATTATATATTGTCTTGCAGAAAATGTATGCAAAAGAAAGAGTCAAAAGGTAATGTTGTCACAATATCATTTTCACTTTTAATAAGATAATATACAAATACGTATACCGTATTAACTTCTCTTCCTCATACTTCCATATACGCGCTCTCTCTAATGCAAATATTTGTCATCTGCTGTCTACTTATTTCAATCTAGAAGATTTCCTCCATTTGTTCTGCTACTTTCACCCTCTATTGATTTAATTAGATTATATTGATCAATGTATGTTATTGATGCCTCATTTAAATGTATTTTAAGTGTTTATTGTAAGTCAGTGTTTGTTAATAATGAAAATACGCATTTCTTTCTATTAATATGATCTTGCTCCTGGATGGATGTCTCCATATGTGGACAGTGTTATCTAAAATTCCTTCAGCAACATACCCTATAGTCATGTGGCTAGATTTTTTTAACCTGAATTTTAACCACAACTTTGAATTCTATGTGTCATCTTGCTCCAAAAGAAAGGGAGAATCTCCCAAATTGAAAAAAAATAAATGAAATATATATATTTTAATCTATATATTCTGATCTGATCTTCAGGATACAGGAAACAGGCCTCTGGATTCTGGCCTTCAATATACAGGGAGCAGGCCTCTGGACTCTGGCCTTCAGGATATGGGAGCAGGTCTCTTGGACTCTGACCTTAAGAATATACATATAGGAGAAAACACAAGACATTAAAATAAACAACAAAATCGAAATAAACAAGCTTGACTCAAACAATGATTTGGCAAATGAGGGGTTAAGGCTAGATTATATAGGGAGATAATTAACATAGTAAGGCCAGCTGGGGCCGAGTTAGATCTCTTCAGTCTCAGTGCAGCACCCTACGACAGCAACACAGCAAGTTAGAGGCAGTGTGAGATACTCCACCAGACTAAAGAGAACTCATAAAAGCCAGAGTATTCCAAAGAAACCCTGACATCACCAGTAATAGAGATCAAACAGGCAGGTCAGATCATCCCAAAATCTGTTTTATTTTTGTTAATCTCTCAAAGTCAAAGAACTGATGTTGAGATTGCATGACCAATGAGGAGTCTGTGTTTTTTCTTTGCAACTCCTCTCTGTTGGTGCTCCTCAAGGTTTTGTATTCATCGATGCTGCCTCCCTTGGTAATCTCATGAGCTCTTTTGGCTTCTAATATCACTTCTATGCAGGAGAGATCTATGTGTCCTCTCCTGATCTTTCACCATCCCTCTTACTGTCTATAATGAATGCAGCATTGAGGCTCATCTTTCTGTCTGCGTGCTCCTACCATGCCTCGCCCCTCTATCAGTCCTTACACTGGCTTACTGTATGATATAGGGCTCATTTTAAAATTCTGGTGCTTGCTTACAAATCTCTTCATAACGCTGCTCCTACCTACTTATCCTCACTAGTACAAGTATTTCCTGTCCAGGCCCCTATGCTCTGCCAAAGATCTGCATCTATCCTCTGGTTGTACTTGCATCTCTGACGCCCACCTTTAAAACTTCTCTAGGGCTGTGCCGTACACCTTCCCTGCTCCGTTAAGACTTTCACCCAGTCTCAGTTCCTTCAAAAGATAATTAAAAACTCACTTCTTCAGGAAAGCATATAAATTAAACTGTTAATAGCTTGCCCTCCCCACACCTTGATAACCCACCCTGCTTCCCCTCCTGCAGCTGTGTCATCCAAAAAACTAACCCTTCATTGAAAACTATTCTGGTAACCTACTTTTCCCCCATACATAAAACTCATCTTACCTATGATTCCTGCCTTTGGTGTTGTTACAATCAAAAATGGAAGGTTGATTGTAATTTACCATTTTTTGTCACTTGAATTGGGCTAAATTGCTCCAATTATGTTTACCTGACTCACTCATAAGAATTAAGAGCTTTATAAATTTTCTTTGTGTAGTAAATAGGTTATATCTGTATCCTTATCTGAGTAAACATGAACTAACTGTTCATGAAACATAGAGTCTCATGAACTGAACAATTAATATATACTATTATGGTGTTCCATTAATTAAATGCTTATATAACAATTGTACCATTTCATGGCAAGCAAAGCAGTATGACCCACAATAAAATAAATAAACCAAGGTAATCTCCAGCTAACTTTTCATTGGCTTTTTGTTTTTTCCTGTCTTCATTTTATTTTATTTTTTATTTATTTTTTTTCTACCTTTTCCACACTCTTAAACACATTATGTCTCTCTGTGTTTCAGAATTAGGGACTGTGCTACTTATGAGGCTAGAAAGTCTGAACTACTGACCTAAAGAAGCGGACTGCAAGCCTTTTGCTCACACTTCATATGACCACTTAGTCCAAATCAGGTGACGATGTAGGACAACTGGAACTATACATTCCTCAGAAGGATCTGAAGATCTAAAACAAATTGGCAAATATTTTAGAAAATGGTGAATAATTTTGAACTGTGCTTTGTCTCACCACTGTTTAACCTCATCGTTTTATAATTTTTTTTTTTATAACTGATCCAGTTTCGTAATATTTTTCTGAGAATTGTAACTGCACTTTGCTGCAGTTATTGTGCTAATTTCTTCTACTTTCATACTGAGTATGGTGCTGTTGACCACTGTCTGACAGTCTTGCCTCAAGATAAACCTTAATATTGCAAAAACAAGGTGACCTGCTCTGGATTATGGAACAGAGTGACTTTTGCATTTATAAAGTCATTTTTGGGATACATGAAATAGATTGAACATGAAGAAAGAAGAAAAAAAGTTTTTGTTGCGAAGCGATTTCTAAATGGTATATTTTTTTATATCCTGGAGATTTAATGAAAAGTTTGTTTTTTTGTTTTTTTTTTGGAGGGGGTGGAGGGTGGGTGATAATGGACAGACCTATTCCTACGGTGAAGAGGATTTCTTTTAAGGTTATAGAGTACAAAAATGATTTATTTTTAAAAAAATTAAAAGGGATTCAAACATTTTCAGTTCTCCAATGTTGATATTTTGTCAGTTATCCACATTGAAAAAGAATCTTCAGCTACATATTTTATTTTTTAGCTTAGCCTAAACAAGGACATTCTCATTTTCGATTATCCACAATTTTCAGATTAATGAAGAACCTTGTATATATATGTCCTGTTACTTCGATATTTCTGTTATTTTGTATAGAATTTATAAATTGTGTTCCTACTAATTTACTATTTTCAATGTAAATAATAAAATAGGTTGGTACAATCTGGCTTCTGAAAACCTTAACTTGATGAAAAACACACTTGTGTTATTTTTATATAGTTCTCAATAATAATTAAGCAAGTGTCTGTTGAACATGGAAGATTAAAAGCCAAAATAAAGAAGAGGTCTCTTAAGACATGAAGTGAGTAAAGGCACAGCAATGCTAAAGAATGTGATTTTATAGCAGTGATTGGCAAGAGAAATAATGGTGTGTATAAGATGGTCTCTTCCTGTGGCTTACATAATTTATTTAGACAAGGAACCCTGTGTCATTCTGGCATCATTGGCCATGCACGTTCTAGCATCATATACATGGCATCTCACCATAGGGGAAATAACTTCCTGGTTAACACTGATTCCTTGCATTGACTTGGTTCCTATATACCAGACAGTGTGTTTCTAGTGCTATAGGTTTATTTGGCTTCTGACTGAGTACTCATGACATTAATTTTGACCGCGACTTGTCCCTGATATTTATGTTTTTGACCATGGCCTGTTTATGGTTACACTCTATGTACTTGCAGACATTCTGTCCATAGTCTGCACCTACCAATACTGGTGTGTTTTCGCAATGATACCCCACTGGTGTCTTCTCCAGAATCAAAGTGGTAGTTTCCTTGACATTCATAACATAGACAGAGGCATTTTTGTTGAAATAGTTACTACCAGTCCATTTTCTACTCCTGCCAAATCAATCACGATACACAAGGAATCCATACAGACCAGATCTATAGGGTCAGAGTCTTCCTCTGACTATAGTTCTAGCAACTGTGACAGTGCTTCTCCACTGACTCTCTCATACATGGCCAGTAGAAATGGTCTTGCACTGGTTCAAAGGTGTTGTCAGCCACTATATCATTATGTTGATAATGAAGAACCTTTAGTACTTTTCACCAAAACCAAGATTTTCTTCATATGTCACTGCAGGCAGACTGGCCTAGACTTCAATGAGAGGTTATAGTGTGCCAAAGCTGCAAGCCAACAATATTGCATCTATTTTAGCTTGGGTTAATCGAAATGGCAAGGGAATTGGTGGTTATTCTCATTTTAAATTCAGCACCATATAGGTAGTTGTTTAGTTTACCCATGTTTGCACATTTGCATGCTAGAAGTTCCACTTTATGGACATGGTAGTAACTTGCTGTATTTTTTTTTTTTTTTTCTGTGCAATGTATGTTTGTTAAGAAAGGGCTAGTTTATTCAAAGCTATGTAGTGTATGCACATTCACACATTGCAACTCTTTTATTTTCTTTAATATTTTTTTATTACCACCATTGTGAAACCAGCCATATTTGTTTCTAGACTCCTGTACCAATATTTCTGTTTTTTTCAGGATGTTTCCCATATCCCAACCTTCTGATTGGTCTGTTAATAATGACCTCTATTGGAATGGAGCTGAATTTGTTACTATGTATTCAGTGCAAAATACCCCTTTTCATAATTTGTGAGCTTCAAGTAGCCTCTGCTTCCAGGGCTGTCTTAACGCATGGGCACGCTAGGCACGCTGGGTAGTTGCCTGGTGGCCCCACGAACATAGGGGCCCCATAAACTTGCAAACTTTTCAGTAAATTATTATGGGAGATTTTTTTTCAGAACCTTCAAACCCTCTTTATTAAAACATTCAGGTAGACTAAACACCTCAGTATCATCAGTTATCTGTACATGTGATCTTGCTATTGCAAATGCATATCTTAAACTCGATGAAAACAACACACGCATACTAATTGTACATAAGCAAGACAAAATCAACACATATTTTTTAAGTAGTAAAGCTATAATAAAGCTATTCTAATTAATAGTCCACGTTAGTTTCCTTCAGCTGCTACCTACTAAACGTTTGGGTGAATTCATCTCTGCTATGCATTACGTTTTTTTAATGTTTAAAAAACGATTTTGCTGGAGGTACAAATAAATACAAGCCTAATTTGATCTATAATTTACATTTTCATTCCTGTGAGGGGTTGTGTAAGTAGGGCCCCAGTGCACTGCATTGCCCGGTTGCCTGTAATGCTGTTAAGACGGCCCTGTCTGCTTCCATTTTAGAGGTAAGTTAGATTCTTAAAATTTAGCTTATTGTGTTAAACTGACTAAATGATCCACAAGTAGAGCAGATCGGGGATTTTCTTTTTTTAGGTAAATTCTCAATTCTTGACTGTGATCAATAAGAATATTTTTTTTGCGGACCAGTTACAGACGTTTACTGCAAACATACTTTTCTATTTCCATTAATCCTCAACATCAGGCATAATCATCTTGCTCCATCTCAGGATTAGATTCTAAACAATATGTGATGGAAATCTCAGGAATGTAAATGGTAATAGAGAAAGGATAAATGTGGTTTCCAATCCAGTCCTCAAGTATCCCCTAACAGTCCAGGATTTAGACATTACCCAGTAATGTCTAAAGTGGTTTTAGAAAAGAAAAAACAAACAAACAAAAAAAACACTTTAGACATAGCAGGGTAATCCCTTAATCCTGGTCTGGTAGGGGGTACGTGAGGATTGGGTTGGGAACCCCTAATTTATAAAATATTTAAATCTGTCTCTCTTTCATTTCCTATAGGGACCATCTCTGAATCCTAAGGGGTATACTGACATCTAGTGGCTATATCAGATATCATGTTTTTTTTTTTTCTCTACTGCTCTTTATGAAGAACATGGACCTCAATTTAATATTGTTGGATATGTTTTTCAAATGACTTAATATTTTTGGATAAACATTTCTAATGATGTTTTAAACATATTAAAACATATATCATATATAAAAATAATATAGCAACGTATTAAACAAATAACAAAATATAAAAACAAAACATATTTTTTATGATATTAAATAATTTTAAAGTTTACCCAAAAATATTAAGTACTTTGGAAAACATATCCAACAATATTAAATAAAAGCCATAGTCTATATAGATATTTTGTTTATCAAGTTTAATACCAAAAAATGAGCTAGATGGTAAACTGACACCAAACATGTGGGGTATCCCCTACCTATAAAAGTACACAAACAAACAGCAGTTATGGTGTGTTATACAGTTGTGCTCAAAAGTTTGCATACCCTGGCAGAAATTTTAACATTTTGGCATTGATTTTGAAAATATGACTGATCATGCAAAAAAAAAAAAGTATTTTATTGAAGGATAGTAATCATATGAATCCATTTATTATGACATAGTTGTTTGACTCCTTTTTAAATCATAATGATAACAGAAATCACCCAAATGGCCCTGATCAAAAGTTTACATACCCTTGAATGTTTGGCCTTGTTACAGACATACAAGGTGACACACAGGTTAAATGGCAATTAAAGGTTAATTTCCCACAGCTGTGGCTTTTTAAATTGCAATTAGTATATGTGTATAAATAGCCAATGAGTTTGTTAGCTCTCATGTGGATGCGCTGATCAGGCTAGATACTGATCCATGGGGAGCAGATAAAAATGCGTAACAAGGTGATGGAACTTTATAAAGATAGAAAAGGATATATCCAAAGCTATGAAAATGTCAGTCAGTACAGTTCAATCATTTATTAAGAAGTTGAAAATTTGGGGATACCAAGATAAGATCAGGTTTATGAAGAAAGATTTCAGCCACAATGGCCAGAAGAATTTTTCAGGATACAAAGAAAAACCCACAGGTAACCTCAGGAGAAATACAGGCTGCTCTGGAAAAAGACGGCGTGGTTGTTTCACGGGGCGCAATATGACGATACTTGAACAAAAATAAGCTGCATGGTCGAGTTGCCAGAGAGAAGCCTTTACTGCGCCAATGCCACAAAAAAGTCTGTTTACAATATGCTCCACAACACCTTGACATGCCTCACAGTTTCTGGCACACTGTAATTTGTAGTGACAAGACCAAAATAGAGCTTTATGGTCACAACCACAAATGCTGGGTCTGGAGTGGGATCAACAAGGCTTATAGTGAAAAGAATACCATCCCCACTATGAAGCGTGATGGTGGTTCACTGATGTTTTCAGGGAGGAGGGTGAGCTAAAAAGGCATGGGGAATCTGTGAAAATTGCTGGCAAAGATGAATGCAGCAAGTTATCAGAAAATACTGGCAGATAATTTGCATTTTTCTGCACGAAAGCTTTGCACCAGACGCTTTTGGATTTTCCAGCATGAAAATTACCCTAAGCACAAGGCCACATTGACCTTCCAGTGGTTACAGCATAAAAAGGTGAAGGTTTTGGAGTGAGCATCACAGTCTCCTGACCTTAATATCATCGGACCACTCTGGGGAGATCTCAAATGTGTGGTTGCAAGATGACTAAAGACTTTACATGACCTGGAGGCATTTTGCCAAGACGAATGGGCAGCTACTCCACCTGCAAGAATTAGGGGCCTCCTAGACAACTATTACAAAAGACTGCACTCTGTCATTGATGCTAAAGGGGGCAATACACAGTATTAAGAACTAAGGTTATGCAGATATTCCAACAGGGGTCATTTAATTTTTTTATTTGTTGTCATGTTTTGTTTTATGATTGGGCCATTCTGTTATAACCTACAGTTGAATATGAATCCCATAAGAAATAAAAGAAATGTGTTTTGCCTGCTCACTTGTGTTTTCTTTAAAAATGGTACATTTATCACCAATTCTCCAAGGGTATGCAAACTTTTGAGTACAACTCAAAGTTTGCAAGCTTATGGGTTACCCCACTTTTTTGTGTCCTTTTGTCATGGAGCCCTTAAATAAAATGGATAAATATTCTTATTTTACTCAATTATCCTGTGGGCTACAATATTTTTTACAGTTTATTTCTGTCTAATCACCAATCTTCAGTGTGGAGGCATTATATTTTTTGAATATTGTTCCTTCAGACTGGAGTTGGGTCATTCATTTTAACTGTTCTAATAAATACTGCACTATAAGAGTATTGCATCGCGCTTTTTTTTTTTTGTAAAGGCTATTTATTTGTTTGTTTTATACTGGGGCATGAAAGATGTCCTATTGAGACTGAAGTTACAGAGAAATTTTACATTTTACACTTTTTGTGAAGAAAGACAACTTGCTGGACTGGATTTA